TGGCAGACACTCAGTAAATATGTGGTGAATGAATTAACTTTGCCAGATTGCCCTCCAGTATAGTTGTAACAATTTATGCACTGTTTTAAGGTGTAAATGTCTTTTTAAATAATTTTAAAAATCCTCACCTGTGGATATGTTTTAATTGATTTGAGAAAGAGATAAAGAGAAGCATCAAAGTGAGAGAGGAACATTGATCGGTTGCCTCCTGTACACACCCCGACCAAGGACCAAAACCATAACCTAGTCGTGTGCCCTGACAGGGGAACCTCACTTAATTTTTCAATGCATGTTTGAATTATTTTTTAATGTATATTGAAATTTCTTTTGGGAATTCTCTATGATTTTTGCACATCTTATTAAATATTTTACCTTTCTCTGTTTTTAAAAAAGATTTTATTTGTTTACTTGTAGAAAGAGGGGAAGAGAGAAAGAGAGGGAGAGAAATATCAATATGAGAGAGAAACATTGATTGGTGTCCTCTCATTCTGACCAGGGACTGAACTTGCATCCCAGGCATGTGCCCTGACCAGGAATTGAACTGACAAACCCTTTGCTTTGTGGGATGATGCCAAACCAACTGAGCCACACCAGTCAGACCTTCTATCTTTCTCTTATTCATTTCTAGTAACTTTTGTCATTAAAAAGTAACATTTTCTCATTTTTATAGTTTTTAAAAATGATTTGAAACACAGACATTGTTAATGTGATTTTATTTGTCAAATGGACATACCATGTTTATTATCCAGTCAGTCCCTTGTCAATAAGCTATTTTGGTTGGTTTCAATTATTTCTATTTAAATAGCATTGCAATGAAAGCCTTTGTAAGCCTTTATTGGGCTTTAAGATTATTTCTTTTGATGAGCTCTGGGGTTTTTTTTAGCAGAATTTTATGGTTTTATTAACACAAATACAGTCTGTACACAAGCTGTCTATTCATTTTCTCCACCTCGCATCCTGGCATTGGGATTGGTGACCCTAAGGGCCAGCTGGGCTGCACTGTTCACACTGGCTTTCCAGCTCTTCAAGGAGGAGATATTGTGAGAAGTCTCACCACAGTGACATTTGTTACACATCAGCAGCACTTTCAAGCTCCTTGATGTTGCAGACAGGGAAGTTCTAAAAGCCACTGGGCAACATGAACTTTGTTTTCTTGTTGATTCCATGATCGATGTTGGGCATCAAGATCTGGCCCTAGAATCTTCAATACCCTATTGTCAACACCTCTGGGTTTCTGCCAGTTCTGCTTAATATTGGTCTGACTGGTACCAGATGAACTTCTTAGTCTTCTCTTTGATGATCTTGGGTTTCATGAGGGGTCTGAGGGAAGCCACTGTACCCAGTAGAAGATGGTTGCCACCTCTCTAAGCAGCACCCGGGAAGAGAATGTTAGGTCCTATTCTTAAAGTTCTTGACATATTCTGCCAAATCACTCTCCAGAGAGATTAAACTAATTTCCACACCCTTGTCCACCAGCTTGGCTGCACTCTTCCCAATGTGAATATTAGCACTGCAGACATTCTGGGCTTATACAAGGATGGAATTATACCTCTTTTAATAACGCAGAAAATTATATAATGGATGGTGTACTTCTGCAAGGTTTCTTGGAGGGCAAAAAGGGGTGGAAACAAAAGACTAGTTGGGAGGTGTGGCTTGCAGTCTGAGAACAGGGGTTAGAAAGTCAGAGTAAAGAAAGAGAAAAAGCAATGAGCCTCAGGCTGCATCTCATTTGTACCTGCAGGATTTTAATTATAGAGATGATAGAGTGACAACATGAAAAGGCCAATGTCATTAAAAGAAGAGTTTATCACTTACATTTCTCAGGAGGATGGGGCACCCTGTGCCATGCATGGCTGCCTGGGAAAAGCACCAGGTTTGGTCAGAAAGCAGAAGCAGGAGTGAGAGGAAGGCAAGGCAGAGACTTTATTGGGGTTTCAATAAGACAAAGATAGAAAATTTCCAATGATCACGTAGTCATCAATGTTTAGTTTGTCAGGGGACACTTATTGAGGATGCACTGTTGAGGCTATTAACAGAGATGAGTTTCTCTCCCCTTCTTTCCCTGGAATTATCCCTTTCAGATCCATCCTCAGAAGCCCTGTGCCTGAGCAGATCTGAACAGGCTGACTCCAATAGCTTGACGCCCTATCAGGGGTGGCATGTTTGGATGCCTCCACAGGAACCAGGCAGAGTGGTAGGAAGGGAGGAGAACAGAAGAAGGGAAAGGTGGGCAAGGCTAAGTAGGCACCTTGGCCCCTCCCAATGCCCACCTTATGTCCTTTTTCCTGCCAGCCCTCGGGTTTACCCTACAGAGTCCTCTTCTCCTAAGGCCCAGCTCCTGAACATTCAGCACACCCTCTCTCACCTGCTGCCCACCCCGTTCTACTGCTCACCCTACTTCATATCCCAGCCACCAGTCCTTACCATGTTAGGCCCTCCCAGCAGGTGCACCACCCTATAGGTGATGATGGTGGTAGCATGGAACGATATGCCATTGTTCTGTCCCAATGAAGGTGTGGCATGGTGAGGTCAGTGGAGAAAAGGGAAGGAAAAAATATTCAGTGAGCACACTCAACAGTCCACTCAGGGGAGTGTGGAAGTGCCTGGAGGTATTTTGGTTATTTCAATGACTGGTGGTTAAGAGCTGGGGGACAGGGTACCAAACTAGTATGCGTGGGACAGTCCAGCTGAGTAAAGAACTGTCACACCCAAGGTGTGAGTAGCCTCCCACCTCTACATGTCAAAAAACAAAGAAGGAAGGGAAAGAAGGAGGCAGAGAAGGAAGGAAAGGAAAGAAGGAAAAAGAAGGAAAAGGGAAAGTAAGGACAAACACACATGGCACTAGCTGGGCATGAAGAAGACCAGATGTTATTCTGAATATTAGTCATGTTGCTGCTGCCACTAAAGAGCACAACCTCACCCAAATTCTTCTTTACAGATGTGAAACCTGAGGCCCAGTGAGGAGGAGGATTTCCCGTAGGCACATAGCAGGGGTTTTACAGATTTCTGGACACTCTGACCAGGATACCATATCAACCCCTGTGACCACCTGCCAAGTTCCCAGAGATATCCTCAGGCCCAGGGCAGCAGAGGCACAGGGGAATGAGATATTACCCTGCAGGGTCAGAGCATGCATCACTGGAAGTTATTGGAAGTCACTGTCAACTAAGAGTTACCATAGCTTATAAGGGTAAAAAAACAAAAACAAAAACGCAGGTTCAGTCTGGACTGCAGTGAGGATCTGGAGTTAGACTCTGCCTGTTCCCATTAACAGCTGCCTTCTATTGTCTGGTGAAGGACCAAGGAAAGAGTGCCTGGCATTCTTTGTGAATATCCAGGAGCTTTTCCAGCACCTAGACCTAGCATGTCAAGACAGGAACATGGCAGCGTTTTCCTCAGAAAACCATTTCAGACTGCACCAATCATGGAGATCATATTGGTTTCCTAGGGCTGCCATTATAAGTTACTAACCCTGCAAAGGCCCAAAACAGTAGTGGAATGCAGGGGAGAAGGTGGAGCAAAGGGGACAGTGTCAACTGTGATGTCCTAAGAGTTTCTCACCTGAGAGGTCTGAGCTGAGGGAGAGGAGATATTTGATATCAGAGTTTAAACACCTGGAAAATGCTTCTATTTGCTAACACCTGAACAACTCTCCCCAAGATTTCATCCTGGGGGTCTTACTCACACCCAGGTGACTGGCTAGTGCCACATGTGTTTGTCCATATTTTCCCTTTTCCTCCTTTTTCCTTCTTTCATTCTTTCCTTCCTTCTCTGCTTCCCTCCCTCCCTTCCTTCTTTGTGTTTTGACATGTAGAGGTGGGAGACTACCCACACCTTGGGTGGGACAGTTCTTCACTCAGCTGGACTGTGTCCCACACATACTAGTATGGTACCCCATTTAATAAGAGCCTATAAAAAGGAGGAGTCCTGAGAAAGAAAACAAATGCTCTCTGCTTGCACTCTCCTGACAATTCAACCTTTTCATGAAAACACAGTTGTAAGAAAACATTTAAGAAAAAAGAGCTGACCCAGCTACAGAGTCATAGAAGGCTAGCCCTGAGGAGTGAGTGTTGAATTGAGCTGAAGGAAACGAGACGGAGACCAAAGCAAGCATGGGAGGCAAGTGCCTCCCAGAGGAAGCAAGCTGGCCCTCATCTGTACAATCTCTCCTATGCCACTCTACCCTGCAGACTCACCTCCACTCTTCCCTCTCATACACCTAGGCACCAGCCAAACTTGGCCCTCACTTGTTCCAGAACACTTGTTGCCATTATCCCCCAGACCAGCTCTGCTGGTCTATTCCTGTAGCCTCCCTCTCCCTGCTTCCTCTGCAATCCACTCTTCCACCCTTACTAGAGGGATATCCCTTACTAGTTTATCCCTTACTAAAGGGATAAACATCCCCAGCCTTCCTTAAGACCCTCACATGCTGCCTATAAGCACGTGGGCTTCCAGGTCTTCCTGTGCTGCTCCTTCCAGCCTTCAGGTTTCAGCTCAAATTGCACTTCCTCCGTGAGGCCCTCTTGAGTCACCCAGTGTACCTCTTTCCCACGGGGCTCTTACATCTCTCCATAGTACCAATCCCACCTTCAAACGTCTTTTATGCAGCCCTTCTCCCAGTCTGGAAATTTTCTAAAGGAAAGCAGCACAGAACACACAGTAAGGGCTCACAAAACATGTGAGTGAAAAAAGGAAAGAGAATTAAAGAATGGTTAGCAAGACTTCAAGATCACAGATGTTATTTTGGAGTTTATTTTTTTAAAACGCCCTCCTACCCGTCTCCAAATTGGCTGAATACAAAGTAGGCGCGAAGAAGTTACCAAGGCCACTTTAGACAAATGGCAGGTAGGAGAGGGAGGCCAAGAAACCCTTCAACCGCAGGAGGCGTCCGCGCCGCGCCCCTCCTGGGCTCCGCTACGCCCCGCCCCTCCTGGGTTCCGCCACGCCCCCACGCCCTTTGCCCCGCCTCTGCGCCCAGCGCCTTTGCCGCCTCCGCTTCCGCTTTAGAGGAGCTAAGGCTCGTAGTTTCCGGTATTACCACGTGGAACTCCAGTTTGGATTTTTTCGGCATGGCGGTTTTTGCAGGCCCAGCCAAGCCGCTTCTGTCCCTGAACCCGCAGGAGGAGGCGAAGTTTCACAAGGAAGTGGCTCAGGTTCGCCGGCGCGCAACTAAGGTGAGCGGCGTCCGTGGGCGGACTGCTGAAGGAGGTGGCTGGCGGGGTCTGGGGAGTCTCCGGGACCGCGTGGAGTTCAGTGCGATTCCTTCTCCGCGCGCGCCTCGGTCTCCTCACGCCTCTGCTACCTCCAGAGTCTCCCAGGGCGGCCAGCAACCTCACGAACTTGGAGCCGAGGTTCCCAGACGAGGAGGTCTAAGCTAACCGGGAAATGATGGGTTTTGCCGGGTTAAGGGTCCTGTGATGAGTTAGGGTCCTCCTATGGAACTAAAGGACATGAGGGAAGAGGAGAAAAAGACAGCTGAATGCTCGGAATGGTTTTCTCCTACAGCAGATTAACCCTAGACTGCAGCTGTCAAGCTTCCGCCTTGCCCCCGTTGTTTGCCCGATTAATGATTTGGGGGTTCTTAGAAGACATTATTTGTCAAGTTTATTTACTGGATAGGGCCCCTGGCATCCAAGTTATATTTGCCTTGGTTTTTAACATGAAATAACACGTTTGGAAAACTTAAAAAGTTCTTGTTAAGGCAGGCGTGTGATGACTTAGATGGTGAAAGGTTTGTCGGCACTGTGAAGGTTAACAGTTGTCTGGAAATTGTTGGATTGGGTGGGTGCGAATAAACGGTCTCCATGCAAAAATGAAGGGTATGTTTATGTGGAGATCTGGCCAGATAATTTAAAATAATATGTTAGAGATTTACTTCCTTAGCCATTGCGTCAACATATAGTAATTGGGCACTGAGATTGTGCTGGCGCTAAGAAGCCAACCTGCTTGACCACTGTCTTGGTGGGAGACATTAAACAACTAATCCTTTAGTTACTGCCTTAGTAAGTGGAAATATGGGGTAGGTTCGTCATTTCTTGTTTTGGACTAAGCTAGGATTTTGGAGGTTTTGTTGCAATGTGATTTTTTTTTAATTAAAAAAGTATTTTCCTGGTTTTTATGTCTTCAGCAACAGAAGCAAGAAAAAGAAAAACTTACTCCTGGAGTACTTTATGTGGGCCACCTCCCTCCAGCACTTTATGAAACCCAGATCCGAGCATATTTCTCGCAGTTTGGCACTGTTACGAGATTCAGACTGTCCAGAAGTAAAAAAGTAAGATTTTTGTATTGAAGTAGGTTATTTGTTTCATCTCTCAAAAGTAACGGCATCCTTCACGGTGTAGAGAGTGTGTTCACATGTTATTGCTTATCACACTTCTTACCAGAAAAGGAGGACATGGATGAGGTTTAGAACCTGAAAACAACCACAAAAACAAAATCAGTGTTAGTGTAAATTTTATTTTGCTATTAAATAAAGTTGTTACCCCAGATCCTCAAATTAAATTGACAGTTTTGGTAAATGAATCATATTTGTCCTGTGGCTACCAAGTCAGCTGTATATGAACTTAAGTTTCGGGAACAGGTTCTTACATCTTGTATTGATTAGCCTTTGGTGTATGCATCCCTGTAATAGCAAAAGTACATATAGTGAATTGTTAAGAATAGGGACACTGGAGCCAGGCTGCCTATGTTCAAGGCCTGGCCTTTTTGGATTACTAGGTGTATGACCTTAGACAAATTGTATCCCCTCCATGCTTTAGTTTTCTGATTTGTTGTAAAATGTGAATAAAACAGCATCAACTTCCTAGGAGTATCTTTCCAAAGATTAAATGAGGTAATAAATATAAGGTTCTTAGAACAATGCCTGATACAGTAAACACTGTGTATGTGTGTTATTGTTATGTCATCCTACCTCATAATTACAAAAAGTTTATATGGTTTGTTTCAGTAATAGAGAAATGGCTCACTTTTTTTCTTACCATACACATACAATTTTATTGGTTGTAATCATAGAAACCTCTCTTTATTGGAATTTCTGTTTTTCGTGATGCAATTTTTCCACAATTTTTCATTTGAGTTACAACAGATCAGAGTTAAATTTTACATTTGATTTGGTATATGAGGGGGTTAGGTATACATCCATTATCCACCAGTTGTCCTAAAATTGCAGAGACTAAGTTTTGTCAAAGCAGCATTTCAACCTTAAAAGAGATTTTTTAAACGATTTTATTTATATTTAGAGAAGATAGGAAGGGAGGAGAAACAGAGGGAGAGAAACATCAATTCATCACCTCTCGTACATGCCCCAACCTGGGACGAAAACTGAAATGCAGTTATGTGCCCTGACTGGGAATCAAACAGTTTGATTTGCAGGATGACACCCAACCAACTGAGCCACACAGGTCAGGGCTAAAGAGGATTTTAAATATAAAATAACCTGATATCTTATCCTAACCAAAATACACATTTTCTGTGTATTCCTCCCCCTTTTTTTTTTTCACTTACCTATTTGTAATGGTTTCTTTAAACATCCTGATGTCTACTTAGAGAATGATTTAGTGACTTTTTAGGTTTCCACCATTTCCTTTTATCAGTTTTGAACTTGATCTCACTTCAGATCTTCATTCTTTCCAGAATAGATTTTAGATATACTTGAGGTCCCTTTTGTACCCTTTCCCAGTCTTCTGTACTTCTCTTCCTCCCATGCCCAGGAAATTACTATTCATGAACTCATTGTTTTTCATTGCTGTATGTGTTTTTACAATCTTGACTACATGTATCAGCATAGGTTGTATAGTATTATTCTATCATTCTGCAACATTCTGCAGATTGTTATTCAACAATCTGTTTCAAGCTTTAACTCCAGTACATTCATTGGCATTGCTGTGATCATATTCAAGTTAATCTACCTTCCTGTTGAACATTAGGTTTGTACAATATTTCACTCTAACAGGTGAAACTTTTGGGAACATTCTTTGCTCAGGTATGGGCAACTTTCTCTCGAGTAGTATGTTTCAGACTAAGTTTTATAGCAGAAATCAGCACACATATACATGTATGTAAACATAAATGAAAGTCATATGAGACACTACTTTTCAGTTGGTACTTTTCAGTTTAAAAATACCTTTTTGGCCCTGGCTGGTGTAGCTCAGTGGATTGACCGAGGGCCTGTGAACCAAAGGGTCTCCCATTCGATTCCCAGTCAGGGCTCATGCCTGGGTTGCAGGCCAGGTCCCCAGTGAGGGGTGCTTGAGAGGCAACCACACATTGATGTTTCTCTCCCTCCCTTTCTCCTTCCCTTCCTCTTTCTCTAAAAATAAATACAATTTAAAAAATAAATAAAAATACCTTTTTGACCTACTAAATTGATTTTGTTGAGTGTCATTGTGTGTTTATTAGCTATTGGAATTATCTTTTCTGTGAATTGCCTAAAGTATCTTGCCCTTTTTATTGCCTTTTTCTAAAACGTCTCTGCCTTTTGTGAGATAATTTATAAAGGTTTTTTGTAATATGCTGTAATATAATCATTGTTTCCCCCAGCTTTGTTTTTAAAATTTTTCAATTCTACAGAGAAATAGAAGGAATAATAATAATACAGTGAACATCCCTACCTTCTTCTGAGTTCACCTGTTATAACATCCTGACATACTGGCTTCATGTCTCCATAGCTATAAAAATATACACACTTTTTTGTTTTGCTGAACCTTTTGAAGAGAGTAGCAGTCATAATACTTTAAATACTTCATCATAAATCTACTAGAAATCAGGTCATTCTTCAGAACCTCAGTATAATAGTCTAGCATGTATTTTCCATCTTCAAATATTCTCTAGATGTGAGTTGAAGTTGGAATTAAAGGTGCTGTAATGTTATTCACTAATAAGGCTAGAGTGTGCATTATTTAACCACAATTTAGGAGTTTAATGATGCATTAGAGTTTAATTGTAGTTTTGTGTTGGATTTTTTAATTACAGACTGGAAATAGTAAAGGCTATGCCTTTGTGGAGTTTGAATCTGAAGATGTTGCCAAGATAGTTGCTGAAACAATGAATAATTACCTTTTTGGTGAAAGACTCTTAAAGTGTAAGTATTGTTATTTTACCTTAGGGTTGCCTGGCTGCCTACTGCTGATGGGTGATTGTGGTGTGAAGGACAATTTCTTAGCTACTTGGACATCCCACTTGATTTCTGGGATTAAGTGCTTTTTTCAGACAGACTTTGCTTAGAATTTTAAATCTTCCAGAGTAAGAGCTGTTTTTATCTTGAGGTGGAATTAGGACAAGTAACTTTAGGAGTCTATAGGAAGAGCAACTAACCCACCTTAATAGGATGTGGAAGGCTTCCCTGAGGAAGTATCCTTTAAATCAAAATCTGAAGATAGAGAAGAGAGCCAGATTTGGGGGAAGAGAGTAAAGACTGAGATCCTGGCCAAGGGGACAGCAAATGGCAGGACTAGAAGTGACCAACAGTATTTGCCTATGAGGGAATGTGAGGAGAATAGCAAGACGGGGAGAAAGAAACAATAGATAAGAGGAGTTTGGGTCATTTGAAATCTTTATAAATCTGGAAGTTTGGCACGTATATCCTGAGGACAGTGGAAAACCATATAGATTCTAGATAGAATAACATTAAAGGTAAGGAATTACATTTCAGAGCCAGTCTAAATGACTTGGCTGAAGCTCTTCTGCAAGAGAAGCCTTACGGAGTAAGGAATGACAACACCAGATTAGAAAATCATCCCACAGAAAGTAGAGCCGACTTTATATTCCAGAGCACACCTGTGTGGATCCCAGTGCCCTTCAGAGCAGAGTTAGGTTTCTAAGTTAAGTTTCAGAGCTTGTGGTGGAGTGTGACATCCCAGGTACTTAAGTCACACACATCTGATCAAGTAGCTCATGAGGCTGCCTAAGTAGCATCTCTTTATCTTAGTTCCTATTGCTATGACAGAATCCCAGTAGCCTTATTGAAGTCATGAGTTCATGCACACATTAAAAATGGTTCTTGCCAGAAGAAAATGGGCTGGGTAGATGAACTAAAAGGTGTTGGGACTACATGTGCAGGGTCAGTGCTGCACTGTACTTCGCCCACTTGGTTGAAAACTTTTCCTTTTTACTGACAGGTCATTTTATGCCACCTGAGAAAGTACATGAGGAACTTTTCAGAGAGTGGCATATTCCGTTTAAGAAGCCATCATATCCAGCAGTGAAAAGGTATAATCAGAATAGGACACTTCTTCAAAAGCTGCGGATGGAGGAGCGATTCAAAAAAAAAGAAAAATTACTCAGGAAGAGATTAGCTAAGAAAGGAATTGATTATAACTTTCCTTCATTGGTAAATATTCCTTCATGAAATATATTTTGTGGTTTTTCTTGTGGGTGGGCTTTGTACCTCACTAGTTGCACCATGATTATGATTTCATGTATAAAGGATCTAGCCCTGTGTTTACCACATACTAGGTTTGACTACATTTTTAAAACATTGCATTGTATGCCAGGGCATGTCCAGTTACCTACATTGTGTAGAAGAGGAAATTCCAGAAAGGGATTAGCTGATTTGCAAATTTTCATATTTTTAAATTGAAGTTAAACCACTAACCAAAACCTCAACGCTTGTTGGTTGCTATTAAAAGTGTCATTACCAGAATTAAATGGTGTTTAGTATTACACATTATCAGTAACCCCAAGACTATAAATTGACCATCCTTTTTATGCCATTCTAATTAAAAATTGTTTTCATTTTTTTTTAATTGGAAATATTCTTAAAATGTATATCAGATTTTACCAGTAAGTATCATCTCTGAATTAAAAGAGGAGTTGAACTATAGCAAACCTACTTAATGAAAATAAGTTTGAACAGATTTTTGTACAGCTTTTATATCCTTGCTTGTTTTATTCTGTCCTCCCTCTTTGAGACTAAAGAGAGCTGTGTGTCTTTTACTAGAAAACAAAAATGCAGGTCATTAGGGTGTGGCTAGTATAGGCGAAGATCATATTTCTTGTCTTGACTAAATCTTGAGGATACTTTAGATCTTTCATACACCCTTTCTCAGCTAATTTGTTGTAAGAGGTGGCATCTATTCCTAGAGTAACTAACTAGAAGACTGAGTTATCCTCTTTTGGCTCAATTCTAGGTTGTTAAGTCTTTGCCTAAATCCCAAACATAGTCTTTACCAGGATGTGTTTAAAAAGCATGATGTCTCAGTCTGTGGATCTAGTACTTTCATGGACCATTTAGGAGGTGGTACACTGAAGCGGAATTCTACAGGCCAGCTCCAGGCTTTAGCCCCACTTCAAATTCTATAGCTTCTGCCCATTCTTCAGGCCCCTTTGCTAGTTTTTGCCTTTTACTTAAGATCATTCACTGTATTTGCAGATACTGCTTTTTTAAGTTGAAATGCTCTGTCTCTTAGGAAGGATCTGCTGATAATATGTATAAGGATCTTATGCTAAGTTAAAAATGTAAATATGTGTTATTGCCAGTTTATAACTTCTGTATGTTCAGTTAAGATTTTACATAAAAAGGGGAAAAGCAATGCTTCAAACACTGATCTTTGTAAATCCACAAATAGCCAGGTAAAATTTTTCTTTATATTATATACCAGCTATTAGAGAAAGATGAATGGGAAAATACATCCTACTGCTGTAACTGGTAAATATGTAAATTGATGAAGTTTCTTAAAATTTATTGAAGGTTTTACCTAGGAAGAAGGAAAAAAAGGTTTCAGCCACACCTGACACTCTTCAGAAGACTGTGAGCAGCCAGGTAAAATTGTCCTCAATATTTTGGGAAAAGCAATTTCTGCTACTGTCACTTTGTTAAATTTCAAATTGAATCTTGTGACTATAGCAGATACAGTGAGCTTACCAGCTAAAGTTATCATTGAGTTTATTATTGCAGTTTTTACCTTTTAAGCAAAGTGACTCATCAGAAAGGAGAAAGGAGGCCACTGTTTTTATAAGTGTAAGATCAGTGTTTTCTACTGCATACCTTATAATAGGGCATATTATATTACAATTAATTATGAATTTTCATACTGCGTTTGATAAGTACCTAAGCTCTTTATTATGTGCAAATACATCACTGAAAGAAGGAAATAGGCCACAACTAGTAACACAGCACAACTTGTAAAAATAGAGGGGAGATTTTTGTGGGGGGAGAAGGGAAAGTTGCTCCTCATATCTTCCCATATTTATGTATTATAATTTTTTATTTGTTGAATCCAGGACCCCACACCAGTTTGTACACCAACATTTTTGGAGAAACGAAAATCTGAAGTGGCTGAAATGAATGATAATGAAGATAATGAAATAGTTTTCAAACAGCCCTTATCTGGCATAAAAGAAGAAACACAAGAAACTAAAACACCTACACGTTCAAGGAAAAAAAGATGAAGAAAAAGCCATCAGTGATTCTGAATATATCATGTATACATTTGGAAAATGTGATTTTATGGTGAGGGCTGGATATTTTGTTTTGTTTTGTTTTTGCATTTAAATAGATAAAGTAGAGTGCAGCTTTCAACAAGATTAGAAGAAACACTGTTGGTTCATGTCCATAAGGGAAGTAATCAGTAATTGTGGCTTGCCCGCCCTAGCTGAAATATAGGAGTGCACACACCATCTTACCATAGCCAAGCTTATGGTGCCTCTGTCCCAGTTTCTTCTAGTTTCCTTTGCAGATTTCATCGCTGTCTCTAGTGACTCCCTGGATGGAAGGGTCACTATTAACTGCAAGTTTAGGTACTGAACTGCAGTGTTTGTTGTTAGCACCAAATAAAATAAAACCTTGCTTAATTAACTACATGGTTTTCTATGTTAGGCTGTGCACATTTAACTAATAAGGGTACTTTAGACTTCAATATGAGATGGTTGACACTGAAAGTTAAATTATGGAGAGCGAGAAGGCAGTTCATCTATTAACACAGATTCATTTATGTATATTTGCTCATTTACTAATGTTAAATTAGTTTTTGGTATATTAGCATGAGTTACCAACTACCATTTTATATCAGTATCATCAATGTGAAGTTCTATTTGTGGTTCAAACTGACCAGCAAATGAGCTTTATTTGTATACAGGTGGGACTTGGGTGTCTTGAAGCAAAGTGGGTTTTCACCTCAAATATTTTTAAGTTTCTGATGCTTGTGAAATGTGCTTTTGAATTAGCTAATCCAGATTCATTAAAAACTGCCATAAAAAAAAACCCTGCTGCCAAACATTTTTTTATCCAATATTTGTTAAATCTTTAATATGATAGTAATTAAGTTGGCTGCATTTGTGCTATAAGAGTTTAGCTGCGGTAGAGACCATATATGGTACTCATTGCTAAGTGCAGCTGGATACACTACAAATGGCATGGACATGGTTTTAGTGTGATGTACTTTGTGTGCCATGTGTATTACGGTGCTGTCAAGTTTATGTGCTTTTATTACCAGTGCATGTCCATATCAAAAGGATAGAAAATGAACTTAAGTGCACAGTGGACTGGATTATTTTATAAATTCCAGTGGCAAAGCAATGTATCTATTTTGTAGTGATATTTCAGCTGTGCTCAAAGAATATTGTTGATATTACCAGACTAAGTGCTCATCACAATATTCCCAATTTACGAAAAAGCGGCAGTCAGAATTAAATATTTTAAATGGGTATCACAGCACCATTTTTGATACAAAAAGTTACCACAAGGCTCTAACTAAACTTTATAAGTGGCTTGTTAGCCAAGCAAGAAAAGCCCTTTACTAATGACATGGTATTTAAATAGTGTTTGTACCCACTGCAGAAATAGGTCCAGACAAAGCTTTTTAAGATGGCCTTTAAGCAAGAAAGTTACTTGAAGAGTTCGAGTGAAGATGGCATAAGGCAGATATGGCTGGCCTCTTTGCACAACCACATCAAAGTTAAAATACAGAACAACCACTTAAAACTCAAATAGAGTTAAATGAAAATCTGACAACTGTGGAATTAAACACTGTCCCATCTGGTAGGAGTGCAGATGGAACAGGTCAGTCCCACACAAGTGTGATGGATAGAAGTTCAGGAGGGGTATCTCTGGAGCAAGGAGTCCCAGCTCCGTACCAGGCCACCCAGCCTAGGTTTCCAGTGCCAGGAAGGTAAGTCCCCACAACTTCGGCAGCAAAAACCGGTGAGAATTGAGTCAGTGGAAGAAGCCTCTGCAGCCCCAAGCAGTTCTTAAAGGACCCACACATGGACTTCTACTCACACTCCCTCTAAGCTGTGCTGGGGTAGCAGTTTGAAAGTCACAAGTTCCATACAGGGAGACACTGAAGTGTCTGGCATCAAGGCAAGTAGAGGCCATTGTCCGTTTTCTAAACCCTCAGCACACACAGCCAGCAAGCTGGTGCCATATCTAAGACTCCCATCAACCTGGATAACACTATTTGACTTGCCTTTGAGATACCCAGAGACCACCACCCAATTTACAGGCCCACCCAAGCTGCATTTCCATATGAATGGTTGGTCTTGGCTCATGCTTCACAATTTCCTAAATCCCATCAACTGAGCAGGAGCTGACCTTAGTGAGTCCAGGCCCAGCATTAGCAGCAGTCAGCCTAGATTGAGAGCTTGGCTTTCCCTGGGGATCTCCAAGCCCAGCACAAGTATCATCGAACTCAGATTGCTGTATAGGTCAGGCAGGGTGGCCCCAGGCAAAACACATGTAGGGGTGGACCTTGGCTTGCACCATCTAAGTACTCCAGGATCAGTGTACTGAACTTACAGCTACAGACCCCATCAGAACACCACCACCCTGACCCTACACAGCTGATATTCCATGGAGGGTCAAGGTTGCTGGTGAGTGGTCACAGACAATCCTTGCAGCTGACTGGCCTGGGTAAATCCCTCCCATTGACCTGCCAACAGCAACCAAGGCTCAACCACAAGAGGAGGGTGTACTCAGCCCACACAGAAGGCTCACCTTGAGTACCCAGCTTAGGTGATAGGGGAGGCTGTGCCACTGGACCCTGTGGGACACTTAACTATATAGTAGGCCACACTACCAAGACAGAGAGTCATAGCAGCCCTACCTAATATACAGAAACAAACACAGGAAGGCTGCCAAAATGAGGAAACAGAAGCATGCCCCAAATGAAAGAACAGATCAAATCTCCGGTGTAGAGAAAATGAAGTCAGTCAGGCTCCCTCATCTGGCTGTCTGGGCAACTAAGAGAAGCAGCATTTCCATACCCCTGAAAATGGGCCTGATAAGCAGTACTCCCATAACATGGAGAATGTGCCCACATGCACAGAATATTGCTATTATATATCTTGGCATCCTGCCGGCTTTGTGTGCATTTAGTATATAAGGGAGTTGGGACTGACAGCAGCGTGACACGTGGTGGGATGCGTGGTGCAACACGACAGAATCTGCACTTTGCAATGCAGTGAAGTTTTGAGAGCTCCTAGAGGGAGCGGAAGCCTTGGAGGCTGAAAGAGACAAGACTCTGCTTCACAATGCGGTGAAGTTAGGAGAGCTCTGAGACAGAAGTCTTGGAGGCCAGGATCTGTACCCTGGAGGAAGACCTCCAAACAGCAAAGCCTTGGCAATCCCCCTCCCCAACTGTGGTCAATGATTTGGAAGAAGAGGAGGGGAATTGCTGATCTATACCCTCTCCCCCTCCCCCACCCTGCGCAGACTTGGAACAAAGTTGCCAAGGGTGACTGGGCCAGAGGACTATGGCCCAAGTCCGGTGCTCCAACAATGACAGTGGCTAGAGCTGCAGAGGCGAAGGCAGTGGCAGGGTAGACTAGGATATGCAGTAGCAGTTGGGAGGGATGGTGTCTCAAGCTCCCTCTGTCTCACAGTTAAAAAGCAAGCCCATGTGGTTTCGAGCTGACCAGCATTTCTTGTGGCCAAGAAGAAGGAGGTGAGGAAAAAACTGGGGATGTGATCCAGGGGGGCCACCTTGTGTGTCTGGAAGACCATATTGTAACAGGGTGCAGCCAAGAGGGGAGCCTCAAATAGGGATTTGTAATAAGATCCAGAAGAGCCTGGAGATAATTGGCTCCGCACCACAGGGCCACACCTGCCCAGAATCTGGCAGCTGTAGCCAATTGTGAGAGGAGCCGGAAATGGGGCTTCAGAGGAAGATTGGCACTGGGATTTAAACGGGGACGCGGCAGCCATTGGGGGGGAAAAACCATGCGCATCCCTGCAAGAGAGAACCACACAGCTTTAGCAGAGTGAGGACTCCCGCGGCCCTGAGGGAGAGAACCACGTGGCCTTGATGGAGTGGAGACTCCCGCAGCCCTGAGAGGGAGAACCACGCGGCTCTGGCAGAGTGGGGACTCCCGTGGTCTGGGGAGAGAGGACCACGTGCCTTTGCCAGAGTAGGGACCCCCGCAGCTTTAGGAGATACAGTACTCTGGACTGGGCAAAGGGGGAAGGAAGGAAGGACTGTGTCTGTTTGTGGGTGCTTTAAGGGACTTTAGGATTTTTGGTGAAGACATTAGGTCCCTACTTTAAGTTTGTATAGCGTTAAATAAACGTTTCCTTTCCTTTTCACAAATCTCTGGCATTGAGAGACGTCTTTCCTCTGGCGGCGGACATAACGGATCTGGGGGCTTCTTTCAATAATAGTATATCGTCCCAGGCCCCCCTTGTGTGTTCTATAACAATATGGCTGTGCCAGCCTCTCAAGAAGAAGGAGGAAATATCCTTTGGAAATTTGAATAGGGGGATGGCCAAAGAACCTGTCTACAGGGGATGGGTGGGGGCCAGAAAAGGTGAAAGCCATGCTGCTTTCCCGGGGTATTGGGCAACTGTGCTTCCCATGAGTATACTGTTTGTGTGTCCCCCATTCCTTAGTATATCCTTGGCATGGATGTGCTCCAAAGATTGTGGCTGCAAACCACTGTGAAAGAGCTCCAGATATTTTTGGGCCTGCTAGGATACCAGAAAGTGTTCATGCCCCACCTCACTCAAGTTGTTTGCCCCTTGTATGCTATAGTAAAAAAGGGAGCAATCTGGGACTGGTCCTCAACCTTAGAGCAAGTGGTCCAAGAAGTGAAGCACATTATTAAATGTGCTCAGGCCTTGCATGCCCTGGATCCTGCTAGACCTTGTGCTCTAGATGTGCATGTGACACAAGAAGACTTTAGGTGGGGTCTGCGGCAGTGATTGGAACAGCTAGATCAACTCTGGGGATTCTCGTCCCAACAATGGGAGGAAGCAGAGTTATGGTACTCCCTGATTGAAAAGCAACTGGCTGCAGTGTATGCTTCCTTGTTGGCTACAGAAGCTATAATAGGAACTGCCCCCATGATAGTAAGGACCACTTACTCCATCGCAGGGTGGGTCCAAGACTGGATGGCCAAACCTCGTAGTGGAATGGCCCAGACATCCATGTTGGCTAAGCCAGTGTGGGGGTGGAGGGCTTATCTACAGCAAAGGAGTACTCTGTCCACTAGCCACCTATGGGCTGAGTTGCAGGAAGTGTTGTTGGGCCCTGTTACCTATGTAAATGAATAATTTACTGCTCCTGACCCTATAGAAGAAATAGAAGCTGCCATGAAAGGCAGGCACCTATTCCCCCAGATGCATGGTACACTGATGGGTCAGCCTGCCATGTGAACTGCTGTATCAATTCAACCAGAAAGAGGACATGATCTTGTTTGACACACGTAGGTCAGGGCAGCTAGTGGACAGCACTGCAAGCTGTGTAGCTCGTGGCTGCCAATGAAGCACCGCCCCTGACTATTTGCACAGATAGTTGGACAGTGTACTGAGGACTGACATTATGGATCTCTACATGGCATGCAAATAAATGGACGGTTATGCATAGGCCATTATGGGGGCAGGCCTTGTGGCAAGACCTATGGGAATTAGACCACCAGAAACAAATCACTGTATATCATGTGACTGGGCATGCACTCCTTGCTTTCCCTGGGAATGATGAGGCTGACACATGCGTTGGGGGACTATTATCTTATTGCCCTTTGGGGACAAGAGGTGGAGAGAAACTTACAAATAGTTCCCTGGGTGATCAGAACATGGCCCCCGATCTTAAAGGTGACATACCCAGGGCCAGCAGACCACAAAATGCTTCTTCGTGGCACCTTTGTGATTTCCCTATGGCCCATTATGAGTTCTCCACTGTTGTTACAAGTAGATGCTGAGCCCCCAGTTGAGGCATGAAAGGTTTGGTTGTTCATGCCCAGGAAGACCCCCTCTGTCAGCCACCATCC